TGATACCTTGTTTTGTAATTACTAAAAGCATCACAGTCCTTCGACAGCTTGCTGACATACAGAAAATAAGGTCCTTGAAACTGTTTGTTTCATCATATTTTAAGAATTAATACCTTAGGTCATGTTAATCAGTTTCTGATATATGTAGTTTTCAAAATGCACTTCAGGGAAGAAAATGCTGGAAATGACTAATAACAACAAAGATATGAACTTTATTTGTTATATATCTAACTCCGAATGTGAATATCACCGAAGTACTTTGCCATCTTAAGTATTTAGGAAGCCTTAAATAAAAAATAAATCCACCTCATTCAGCGAAATAGAATATCCTCTTTTTGCAAGCAAAAGAGTTCAAATTTATTAATTTTGTAGCTATATTTTAAAATGAGTGTCAGCCCCTGCTAGATGACTGCATGATAAGTGTCCTGAAACTTCAGGAAAAGGCACTAAATTTTTCACAGCATTTGTGTTTCATTTTCAGTGTAATAAAAATATGGTGCCCTTTTAATAATGAATAATAGATCTCCTGGTATGATTTACATGCGTGGATTAAATGTCATGTTTGAAAAGTTGCTGTTTTATTCATACTGAATTTCCCTCAAGTAAAACAAAATTGTACCCAGCTACTATTATAATATTGCTAGTACCTTGCCACACTGATACATAAATATTAACCGGTTGATATACTCTTTAAAAACCTACAGATCTGTGAACTGTTCTGTCAGCAACTGTGGCTTTATATGCATATGAACTGATTTAGTGCTGTCCCCAGTTCCAGGTACGCTGGGGAAAACGCATTAGCGTCAGTGCTCCCATACTTCTGGAGCTCAAGTTCTTTTGCTGAAGTGTCGATTTTGGAAGGCTGGCACGGAATAAGGGACTGATGCTGAATGAGTGCAGTGGCACTGGAGTTAGAAAGCAATCTGGGGAGCCCAGCACTGACTGGGTTGTCCCTGCTTCTCCTCAGCAGTGCTGGACTGACAGCTCAGGTGGCTGGATGGCTTAACGAATGTTTTTTTAAATGTCACTTGCAGGCAGTCTCATTGGCTTATAGTGCTCTTCGCAATAGCTGAAATTTTCCTATCGGAACTTGCTCCTCTGAACAAAAAATCACTTCTTAACAGGCAATATTTTTTCTGGAAAAGCATTCCAGAAGCGTTTATAGTTTATTGCAAATACTTGAAATAGGAACATCTTCCTTAAAGGTTCCTTCTCTTAGAGTAGGTGGAACTTGCGAGGTACAACAAAATATTTTGGTCCTGATAATTGAAATTATATCTGAAAACATTTTTTTAAAAGGAGAGAAGCATTTTAGCCACACTCCAATTTTTATTCCATTGAAGTCAATGAATATTTTGACTCTGAAAAGTGAGGCTTTGTTCTTACTGTTGTAGTTGTTTCATACAACTACTTTAATGTTTACTGAGCTAACTTAAGAAAAACTGACTAAAAAAAAAAAAAAAGACCACACCACTACTTCACTACTTTTGCTGAGCAAAAATAAACTTTCACACACCACAACTCATTTGTGCTCTTCAAGTCATCATTAAGCTGAAAAGTGTAATCTGGACTTCCTAACACCGAGATGTGGACCCTGTGGAGTTGTAAGACACTGCTTTAAATACACTGCAAATGAAAAATGTTTACTGACTACTTAGGTCTTATCTATAGTAGGATCTCAGCCACCATGAGACAGCAATAAGGAAATTATGCCAGTAAAATCTTTGGCCTGGTGTACAGATGAGGCAGCCACATCTGTGCAGGTGCTGCCAAGGACAGTCTGATTGCAGTAACTGCCTTATTAGATGCACAGAAAACGTCTCGTCTCTTTTCCTATTCTCTCCTTACTCAACTTTCATTCCAGACCTGAGAAAAATCAGGTGGTGCAAGAGTATATTGAAAGTTTAAGAACAAAGCTTCTCAGAGTTAACCTACTGCATTTTTTGAATCTCAGATTAAATTCACATTCAGTTTGTGCTATAATGTAGGTGAAGCTTCAAAATAGATCTTGCTTCATCTAAACCAGACAGCGTTAACCCATCTATGTATAAAGTTCCCTTGCATAAACTAAATACATTAAAACAACCTTGAAATGCTGGGTCTAAAACAAGTCCCCTTCAGATCATGCCGGTAGATGCTATTCCTACAATTGTGAAGAGTCATTTGAAACAGCAACTATATTTTATCCTGATCTAAAGCATTCATATGTGTTTTGTCTGCCATAATTTAAGGGAAAAAAATGACTCATGTGACTGTCTGGCCTTACTGAAAGCCAAATAAAATTCAGCTGGAGCTATTAGGAGCCACTGTCTAATATGTAGTCAGAGGTTATTGGGGGAGGTAGGTTGACAAACTAAAAAGGAGGACAGTGAAGGAGGGGAAAGAAGGGAAGCTGGCAAGCTGGAGCAAAGAACTTTGATTAATGAACAAAAAACATTTTTGAAAGGTCGGGTGCGCAAGTCAGACTAGCCCTGAGGCAGATCTAACTTACATGACCAGCACTTTCTGTACGCAGCAGGTAACCCATGCTGACACCAACTTTGCCGACATGACAGGGTTATTATTTTTGGAAAGATGTAGTGTTCTGGAACAATTTCTCTAATATATTAGTTAAAACTAAGCTTTCCTTCAATATCAAGCATGCATGTCTTCATTTTCACCATGTTTATACTGAACTCCTATCGTTATTCTGGCCACTGAAAACAAAAGCTTATTCTTCATTTGTGAGCACTTGTATTTTCTCCCCTGCAATATATCCCAGGGCAGTAGTGCTATATATATGATTGTGTTCAAACCCAGATGCTTATCTGGAGCTCCCTGCTAAGACCTCACTACTTACGCTAAGTTTTGCAGTAGATGCTAACCATCTGAAGCCTAAAGTTTACCTCATCTCAGCACAGATCAAAAGGGTTTATTCTGACACATACCTTAAGGTTATGGTCCAATACCAAGGTGGGAGAACGGAAAGGTAGAACCATTCAGGGTACAACAATTACGTCTTCAAAATGAGCTCGTGGAGGAGGTTCTCTAAAATTATGACTTAAGCTTTTGCTGTCTGCTATACAGTAATGAAGATAGAATCATCAGAAAGTTGTTTAATCCAACTTATCCTCCGGGTCCTGCATTTTAAGTGGATTTGCCCGAGACGTGCACCCTGGCTCACTAGACTAAAAATGAAGTTTGGTGAAAGATGCTAATTAAACATCCTCTGTGACACTCAAGGAGGACTTTAAAGAAAACTCTGGAAAAATGGTAAAACTACCAAGCATTTCTTTCAGACCTTTAGATGAAGAATAATATCCACCTCTAAGCAGTTACTGAGGTGTCTGCACAACCCTGTAGAAACTCAGAGAAAGACAAGTACGTGGACTTTGTGCATATTCCTCACAAGTCCATGTCAGGAGTTCCTTTGCATTGAGGAGCAGCTGGACAAAAGATGGGTCAATCTAAACTAGCTCTTGCTTAGTACTGAGAAGAGAGATATGAAGTTTTGAACAGGGGCATTTCCTCCGGTAAGAGCAAAAGCAGCAGGCAAGACCCAGGAGAAACATGATGCTGAAAGCAAGAGGAAGGGCATGCCAGGGTCGTTCAGTCATACTACGCATAGCATAGCCTTCTCCTTTCAACAAGGCCTGAGAAGACAGCATTTTGTCTTCAAGGCAGTAAGCAGGACACGTGTGTCCTGCCTAGGGAGGAATCCCAGCTCAGTGACTTCTCTGACAGACACATGTATTTGTTTTAACATCACACGACAGTTGCATTCACAATTTCCTTCTCTATATGCATGATTCTTTTCATACCAACAGCTGTATTTACAGACACTGTTCATCATCCATTACAGATGATAAACTATTAAAAAGCCGAAAACGTGACTTAGCAGCACTTTATATATCACAAACCCAATAGCTGAAATGACCTATCCACAAGTTACTGAAAGCATCAGTTGCATACATAAAAGTTGCTTTATCTGAAAGCTCTTTGAGATAGGGACCGCCTGTTCTGGATCTACACACCACTTCACACAACGGTAGGGGTGGAGGAGGAAATCTATCCTTCAGGTCATGCTGCAAAACAAATAATTGAAAATGGAAAAAACTCTCCTCATTCTACCGGTGCCTCACAACACAGAAAGAAACTACACCGATAGAGACGGGGGTTGTTTTTCAAACCGTAAAGAAGCTTTCGTGTGCCAGAGAGTTTATCCCAGACCAGTGTTTCAACCAGCACTAGGCATTAGCTACAACAGTGAGCAACTGACACACAACAACGCTGCCATGCACAGCATGCTTAGGCAGGAAAATATGTGTGCCTCAGTTGCAAAAGACAGAATAGAGCCTCAAGTGTTTGGGCTCCTTCCAAAATAATCCAAATGCTGCTTTTTTGGCAAATGGGGGTCAATGGAGCTAAAAACTCGCAGAAGGATTTGGGCATTCATGTGTTTATATACACCCACTCGTTCATTTATTATTCTAAAGCTACTTTACAGAAATCAAATTACATAGCTGACAAGCTGCATAGATAAGAGAGAATAAAAGTAAAATTTAAAATTAGCTGACAACACTATATGATGTAGTGTATGTTTGGCCCTTTTAGAGTGAGTGATGAGGGTTAACCTAGGGGGAAAAAAATTGCACCTTCCTAAATTGCACCTTAAATTATTAAATAAATTATGAACATGATGGAATGCATTAAATATATAAGCCTGAAGGAGAAAGTGCAGATGTGTTTTAACTTTCAAAGCAAAGACAGCATATTTAAGGAGTGTTGCTTACCGTCTGGATACTTTGTCCGAAGTAGATTTCAGTGTTGTAGAAGTTTCCATCGTGACTAACAGGCAGTGTTGTCCCGGACCAAGGCTGCTCCTTCAGTTTGGGCCACTCCAGCAAGCCACCACCTAAGCGGCTGAGAACAGAAACTTTGAGGGTATAGTGGCCTTTAGGGACCTTATCTTTGACTCCCCTCAGGCATTTGATGTGAATTTCTATCGGCTGCGGTGTCTTGAAGCAGTCAACCTAGGGAGAAGCCTCTGAGTTACTGACCTGGGTTGAGCCAGCTTTTACCATACAATTAGCAAGAACAAATTTCTTCAAGAAAATAACTACCGAAAAGCAGACAACATGCTTCTTGTTCAACCTGCAATTACCTATTGTTAACTGAGGATCTGCAATTAGAGAGGTCAAAAGTCAGAGAGATGACAGATAAAAAAATAATACAAATAGTACTAATAAAATGTTTGGCATCCTTTGAGGGAAGGTGGAGCTGTTGAAGTATGACACCAGAAGCCATTAGTCTGCAATAATAAGGCAGAATTAACTGGAAAACAACACCTTCAAAAATAGAGCATGCTTTGCGAGACAGGCACAATGCGCGATGTGATGAGCAGGCTGCAGGCACAGAGTGAAAGACAGGGCAAGCCATGTTTTTATACTAATTATTAGCCTTGCCAAAACTATTAGCGCTGTGTAATATGCAGACTATCCTTTCACCTTCTGATTATCATATAATCAGATTCTCTTAAAAATAGTAATCAAAGTGCAACACGTGTAGAGCTTAATAACAACTCCCTACAGGCACCTTTATTCCAAGTCCAGACAAAAGGAAACATCTGCTGCTTGTTGTTGACAAGATGTTGTCTGAGTTACAGAATGTTTAGTATGGAATAAATGCTGTGCTGCGTACCAGAAATGCCTTTCTGGTGCTTTCCTTGCACACTCAGCTTATAGCACGGAGGTTAACAGAGTGGAACAGACGCAGCAGTATGATCCTTGCAAGTCTTGCCTGAGTAAAGGCGCAGAGTCCGTCCCACTACGCCAGCGGATACTTTGGCGTTGCCCAAATGCAATCACAGGGTCAGGCACATAAGAGGGAGTCCCAGTTTGGCTCCAGTGTTGACTTCAATGTTGCTTCTTGCAATTTCAAATGCACTTCAGAATTGCTTCTGCAATAGCTAATTACTTAGTGCTTCAAACTGGCAATATTTTTTTCCCCAAGGAATCATTTTCTTCCATTATTTTGAGAAAACGCTAATGCTAGATCATCATCTTTTAACGCAATGTGATACAAGAACCCATGCCATGCTTCAGAATCGAATGGCTACCTTGACTACTAGGTTTAGTAGTCTCACAGTTTAAGCCTACAGTAGCTAATAATCTCTTCTTTAATCCTGTCTTGGATTTATTTTGGAAGAGATAGCATATTTCCATATAGATAGAAAGCTTCTGGAATTAAATTAAGCAGTTAAATAAACAGTTGAATTTGTTAAACTTCTTTTGTTTCTCAGCACAAACCATACTTAACAACTAATCTGAATGACAATTATTTTCAGCTTAATTAGAAAATCTTAATTAACAATGAAGATTTAACCTTAATATTTTTGGTTTCTGAATCATATATAAAAAAATTAACATTATATGAATAAATAAGACAATCCTTTTAAACCTCAAGGCAGGATTACTGATGCAGGCAGACTTCGTTATTAAACACATTCTAAATTAAACGCCTCTATGAATTTTATACTGAAATATATTGTGATAGTTTTGCATGCCAAATGTGACATTTTGTATTTTAGATTCATCTTCTGTAGTAATTTTGGAAATGTCATACAAACAAAGATTTTGTCATTTACCAATGGAATTACTATGCATGGCCGGTTAGCCATCTCTTTTCTGGCTCTTCTGGTTGTTTCAAGTCAGCAAGCCATAAAAAATCTTTATCTCTCTGAAACACAGCAATTTGGAAGATAATCGAATAGTGACTGGGGGGCAGAAACGCCAGTCTGAGGAATTATACCACAATCTCTCTTGCATTTACAACCTTCCTCAAAGCGAGTGTCAGTCGAGTAGGAAAAGGAGATAGAAGATTCATCATATTTCAAGCCTGT